CCCCCCCCCCCCGCCCCTCCTCCCACCCCCATCAACCCCATTCGACCGCGCGCACAGGTCAGGCATTGAAGAAATGTGGCGAATATCACCGAACGCTGGCCACAATTGAAAATGAACGCAACCAAACCGTGGAAAAAAAATTACTGCTTGTCTTCTTTCATTTTATGCAATACGATTGGGTCGGTCTACAAGTAAGTTGATTCGCCCTGGACTTCCCCTTTCTGATTTTTTGTTTTTCCATTTTGAACGACGTTGATTTCAGTCCCCGTGCTTAGCCTTGTACCCTCTAGTTGTGATCTGTCACAGAAGTCTGAAATGGCAAAAACAGATCTGCTTTTTCGGTACTTCTCATCAGTACACAAACTAACATGTAGACACAGCATAACGTACAGCCAGTAACCACGCACTTTCGTGCATCGGTTTTAGTAGTCGTCATTTGGCTGCCCATTTGGATGAAGCAATAGGAGAAAGACAGACAAGTTGAAAGTAGAGTTGGACAGAAAATGGAGAATCTCAGTGGTCTAGGATTGCAAAGAAATTGAGAAGATGCACGAACGCCACTGTTTACGACACTCAGCCATATCAATCAATGTCTCTAACCATCGGTTACGATCATTCCGAGGTCACCAGCCGGGGAGCATAACGGGACCTGTGTGACCCAGTACCCCGGTTAGGGATTTCATACTTTCATGCCAGGTCTTAGCTTGACCACCCTTGACCTTTTTCCAACCGCTACCTGCCTCGGCAAACATCACTCGCCGCGGCAACCGATTTGGTGACATGCGTAACACATGCCCCAACCAACGTAACCTATGGAGGTCGACCACTTGCTCCACTAGGCGGCCGCGGTTACCCAAAATTATGCACCTAACCTCAGAATTACTCGTCCGGCTGCCCCACCAGATTCGTGCAACGCTGCGTAGATAGCGGTGTTCAAACACCGATAGTCTATCTTTGTCCTGTTTTCTTAATGGCCATGTTTCTGCGCCGTATAAGAGAACTGGCCGAGCTGCTGCAGCATACACTTAGTGCAATCCCAACATCAGCAACACCGCGAGCTTCGGATGCCCGAACGCCTGACAAACTCAGAGTGAAGCGTGAGGATGAAGCTGGGTCTGGAGAACGGAGAGAGATGATTGAAGTAGGGTCTTGTATGCGTGTTTCGGAGACACAGTATACATCTAAATGGAAGGTTTCAAGGGTTCCAGCCAAGCCAGCTTGTTGACCTATCTGGTAGAGTGTGCGAACATTGGGTGCAGCTAAGTGAAAAGGGGGTTTTGGTTTGAAAAATCTGATAGCCTCTGAGTGGTTGACCTTATTAGTTAGTTGATCACTGAGTGGTATCCTGTGTGGTGCAAACAGGAGGCACCTGGTATTATTTGGGATTGAGAAGAAGAACTAGATATATGGGAAAGATGACTTTATAAATAGATGCCTAAGACTTTAGGGCATGGCACACTTTGCGTTAGCCCACACCGACGAAGGGGATTTTCTTTGGGAACCCTAACCGGAACCTTTGACTCAAAAGTTTGACCCACAAGGCTGTGGGGCATAAATCCAACGCGGGAGCGTGAACGGAGTACCCGTGTAGGAGCTTCTAGAGACCTGTCACGCAAGGCCTTTGAATTTCAATTAATTGGGTTGTTCGCTGGTGCGTTGATTGTCCGTCCGCTTTTCGTGATCGGCCCTTGGCCTCATGCACCCAATGAGACGAGAGGAACGTGGACGGGACAGCATCTCAATGGCTGGGGGCTGCCCAACTTTGGCGGGCGTTAGCTGTCCAATGAAGTGCGAAGACTTCTCCCACCGTCGAGAGGAAGCCCCAGGTACCCCGCTCCTTCGTCCATCTAGCAGGTTTTGTTTTGGCCGGTAAACTGCCCCTCACCGTGCTTTTTTGCTGGAGTGACCTCTTCAGGGGCGGATATGGATAGAAGTATGAAGCCAGGAGGTGCCCAAGCAGCTGGCTCTGTGAGACTGAGCTTCGTCTAGCCTCTACCCATTGACTTCCAGGCATCATCGAATCCATGGCTGTGAAGAGCCATCTTGTGTAACTCGCAGTGTCATGGAGGCACGCAAGCCATCACACCACTTTAAGGTGCAGTTTCGTCGTGATGAACAACAAAGCGTGGTAATCCGTATTGTAAGTACTCATACAGTTATTGTGGTGATTGATGTTGGGGACTGTATCCGGATATACTAGTCAAGGATGAGTCAAACTGGTGTCTGTTTCACAGTCTTACTGGCCTTAGGCCAGGGCAGCAGTAGGGCCTTGACAAATTGTTTTTGTTTTTTTGGTTGGTTTGGTCTGATTGCGGTTGCTTCGATTGTGCTCGGAATTCTGCGCCTTACCCCTTTTGATCGATTATATGCTACCCAGTAGATGACCTTGAATGCCCCTTTCGTGTCAGTTCGTGACCCGTGTCCAGTGCATGGGCTAGGATAGCACTAGTCGCATTATTATTGATTTCTTTTGATAACCAAGCTGGATAGTGTTCTTGAATCCTCTGTGACAACCGCCTAGTGGTCCTTCCTACGTATTGCACTCCACAGGAACACGAATAAGAGTACACAAAAAATGAGATGGACTGACTTGTCTTTGAATTGTTACTGCAGTATAGGCTTCATATTAAAAGAGAAACAGAGTTTAGCAGTAAAGTAGGTTCTTTCGATAGCGTGGGATAATCGACGAGTTAACGTTTCGGCTAGTATATCTCCCTTGAAATCAATCGTTGCATAGGCCCTTTTATTAGGGACGGTAGAACAACAGGGCTAAGAATTAACCGTAGTGTGCCTTTTGATGAAGCTTTCTGGATAGCCATTTTCCCCAAACGTGTTGCTTATCAGAAGCAGTTCATCTGTATGCTTGTTAGGGGAGCAGATTTGTCTGGTTCCGTGGACCAGACAACGAACCAAACTTCGTTTCTGTTGCACTGATGCGAAGCTCTGAAAATGAGTATATTGCTCATTCCCTATAGGCTTTTGATATACACTTCTCTCAACTCCCCCATCTAAATTTCTTTGTAGAAGCACATTCAGACTCGGTAGTGAATCAGCATTCTCAAGCTCCATAGAGAAGTGGAAATTCGGATGAGATTCATTTGTGATCTGTCTTCAAAATGCACAAACGTTATCCTAATATCAGCAGTTAGAATTTATTAGGTCCGTATTTTGCTTACGTGTGTAAGCTGTTTTAGATTTATTCTGTTTTGATAGGCTTTTAAATTACCAAACAGTCGTACTTCCTCATGCCACATTCCAGCAGCAGTTAGAGTGCAATTTCTTTTTAGTTCAAACGATCCAAAACGACAAGAACAAACAAACAGTTTGATTCAACGTCATTACGTGAAAACGAATCATGTGCTCCCTTGGACTGCACCAGAAATCGGCGTGCAATCGCTGGTGAAAGAGAAACACATACCCCAATTTCTACCGCTCAAAATTCGATAAAATACGTAATGTTTCAAACTACTGAACCACCAGCGCAAATCAAATCGTCATTTTGCAGACCGGAAACAATTAAACCCTTGAATTCATCCGGTTAATGCTTGGGATACCATGCCGAGGTGGACAGCTTATATGCTTGTCGGTGATCAAATGTGGAAAGATCAGAGCTGTTGGTGCAGCCTTACGGCTCAGTCAGTAGGTTGCAAGCATTTCAAATGCGAACGCAGTGGGTTTTAATTCCTGAAGAGGCTCCTGGTCTTAACAGAACTTATCACTAAGGAAAACCGCTTGAACAGCACAATTGCTCCATCGTTTCACAGTCTTGTCCCTCTCACTGGAGACCAATTAAATTCTCTCATCGTCTCAGCCATCTGATTGGGTCATTTTCCGCTATTGGCGCAACTTGGAATCCCTCAGCCAGACACGAGGTGACGACCGTCGACCGTGTAGCTCAGGGGTAAGGGTTTGAAGTCTCAACCCGAGCGTCCGCGGTTCGAGTCTTGACGGAGACACAAAAAGTACGCACTGACGAGTCCCAAACAGGACGAAACAGCTGTCCCGTGCTCTTTGTTGATTATCACAAGCATTGCTATTGCATTGTAAAAGACACGATAGTGTTTGAGTACCGGCTCGCAATGTCTGTGATGGGGTAATTGCACTGTAGGGGGCATACAACAAAAATTCTGAAGAAAATGAAGCAATAAAGAAAGCTTCCTTTGCTTGTAGACAATCCGGTTGAGGTTTTCGATGTCCAGTCACGCATTTACATCACGCTGTTTGCGTTGTGCGAACAAGCACGCCTTTGACCTAACTTGCCGTGTCACTTGACTAACGAACCCCTTCAACAGCACTAACTCAGTTGATTTTTGTGATCAGCGGATCATTAGGCAAGCAGCGCTACTTGATGAACCATTTGACGAGCATTTATTCACAACCACACCGAGGCAGTCACCTAGACGTCCGAGGACACCTCGGGGCAGCGCAATGTGCTTACCAAATTGATAACTTGAGGTTGCAACCCTTCACGACACTATGTGCTACAACAATGGAAATATTCACTAACCTCGTACTCGAAATCCCTGAGTTCGTTTGAGCACTGTTCATCTGCTGATTCATTAGGAGCTACGGATTAGTCAGTCGGTTTTGTTTGGCAGTCCAAATTCTGCCAGGTTGGCCCATGAAATGAGTGATCAGAACGAATGAGGGATATTGAAAGTAAAACATTGTCCAACTAAAAAAGCGAACAGATATAACCGTATTTAATATTCATGTCAGGAAAAAAACAGGACAAGCTGGATATAAAAACGTGCAACGTGCAACACGAGTTAGATACAGGAAAAAGCTGTTTTTGGCATCCGCAATTCCCATGCTCAACCAATCCCAACAGATTTCCGGGTGTTAGTCATTTTGTTCAATCAAGCCTTTTTGGATTTGACTGACTATGCTTTGATTTTATCTAGAATTAACGGGAAAGTTGAATGTTCACGGAACGGCGAGTGACAGTGTGTTTTCAACGACCCAGTATCGAAACAGATAACATCATTTATTTAAAAGTAGATCTTCCTTTCATTCTATCAAAACAAATGCTGAACTTTGTCTCGTGGTCGCACTCATTACCACGGTTCGAAGTCGCTACAACTGTGTAAGAGATGTGAAAACCCATATCAAATCTATTCTCCTAGGAACGCTTACTTCCGGTTCGGAGTTTTGCTTTGTTTCACTACTTGTATGTGTATACGAGTGTGTG